AATCCACTACGAATAAACTTCTTACAATGTATATACTGAGTCGTGATACTATCCGTGTTTATGTGTTTGATAGTAAGAAAAAAAAAAAGGAAAATGAGATTACTAAAATACCGATACTTGTTAAAATATGAATATATCGAACAAACATATCTGAATTGTTAATCTCTTACCTCTTTAATAATCGAAGAATACTTTTGTAATGAAATTCTCGACGTTCCGTTCCAATGTGACAAAGGTCACATTTTATAGTCACATCACCTTACGTTAGAACTCTAAAATATTACAGATCTCAAATAAAAACTGCCTATTATTAATGCTTGGTAATATCAATACAAATACATGTATACAAAACTTATGGCAAACGGTTCACCGAGTTATGTTAGTACGATCGGAGTATTGTTTCGTTTCTCATTTTTCGAGAATGAACCTGATGATTTACATTAAAGAATAACGTAAATAAAAGCGAATGAAATCAACTGAAGCTCGATCGGGCGAAGGAAAAATCATTTGAAAACAAAACAATCATCGAGCAAACCTTTCTATGATTTTACGTCTTTTTCGATCTTCGCCAAAAATCCAAGAACCACACGAAAACTATCTACGTTTTTTCATATGTTTTTTCGACGGTGAACGAAACATTTTAATACATTCAGGTCGACAGCGAATTTCTGAGGACCCTATTACCAGGTATCTTATAAGCGGACTGCAGATGGTTGTGCAAGTATCCACTTTTATAAACAATTTTACAAAAATCAAGTGATGTATTTTGTCAATTAATGGACTTAGTCCATTTAAAAAAAAAACGAGTCTACGTTATTTTTTTATATTTTCGTGTCGTATAAATGCAAAAAATCTGCAGTTCAACTCTCAGGTCTCGGTTCTACCGAAACGTCCTTTATTTATAAATATTTTACAAGGATTGGTAATTGTCTTTGAAACAAAAAAAAAACAAACATAGGTGCGTGTTTGTAAATAGAAAATGTAAAATAGTACGGCACACCTATGAAACAAGCTACATATTCTAATATGTAATTAACCCTTAATTACAGATGACTCGTCTCAAAGACGAATAATTCGATGTCGACTATTTTGTAACACTTTTCATAACCAACTGACTGACATCTTTCGTTATCGTTTTAGGAAAAAAAATTCAAACCCTCGAGCTGACAATATTCTCCGCTAGATTGTGCTAGTTAAAGAAAAATTCAAATTCTTCTCTGAGACTAGTGGTCTGTAATTAAGGATTAATTATGGCAGGATAATTAGTGGTGGGTCAGGCTATCAACAAGGCCATTTAATAATTCATGCAAAATGTGACCCACCTACATCCGACCAGTTTAACATCTTCAATTATAATGGCAGTGCTCCATCATTAATTATAATTTATTCATATCCTCCTGAATGTGTTAATTGCTCCGATCGGTTCACCATCGGTCACGAATAAAAATCGAACGATGCAATACAAATTGATTTCGATCGGCGTTAGACAATTCACTAAAGCACGTGGACGTCAATGTTTCTTTTTTCTCTTCACATTTCATTTCGTCATTTTTACATAGCAAGTATCTGAACTTCCGTTGATCTACGATTACGAAAGAAAGAACTTCTCGAGATTATTAAAAGTCTTGCCACGGGGTGCGTTCTCGCATTGACTACCCATCGGAAAGGGTGCACTAAATATCGCTAAAAGTAGCTTAAACAAGATGCCAACAAATTCATAGTTTAGCTATAAAACTGGCGATTCTCTCTAAAGAAAAAGACAGCCCAGAATGGACATAAATTCTAATTACTGTTCTCAAGTTATTTTCAGAATGCACAGATTTCGCATTGACATTAAAACAATAATTTCTGATAAGATAATGGTGGTTCTGAAATTATTCCATATAGTTTCCTTCTGAAGAGATACCTTATTCATAATAATGACGCAAACTTTGCAAACAATCCGACTAATTCATAATAATTCTAGTTTTAATTTACAATGCCGGAGGCATTCCTCGATTTGTGATATTTCATGTTGCCGTTTAAATAATTTGTGCTTTTTCTTGTTACTCGACATTTCCTTATTTCGATATGCCTAGTAACTTCGGCAACAAGAAAATTGTTTCGGATTTCCGCTTGATTTTTCAGAAGAGATCGTGCAGTTTCGGGTTTTACTATTTTGTTTACATCTTGCGTAAAGTATCTGCTTAATAGCAATAGATCCTTTTTACTTTTAATACAATCGACATGTATAGCTTCGATTTCGTTTTATTATTAAAAATATTATACCGACATAGACCTTGTACTTATGGATTATGATCATTTTTAACGATCACATTGAATATATCATCTTGAAATTACTTCTCCGTCATCTTCTTTGTACTGATCTGAGTGTACTATACTTTCTCTCATTTTTATTCTCTTTCTTTTTTGGGGAGGGGAAGACTTTTCTTTAATGGCTGACGACTTCTTGCACTTCCCTTTCCTGTATTAAATAAGTGTACACGACAGTTTGCAAAGGAAAGAATAAGAATTTGTATCCTTTGCATTGGTTCGAAGACTCTACGTTGTTCATACTATTGATGTCAAATATCAACATGAAATATAATAAAGAATTCGTTATTATTTTAATTAATCAAGAATTTTGAGCCATTTTCTAAATTGCAGAAAATGTTGCAATAAAATTCATATTATGTGAAAACAATTTTTTAAGTTTTCAATCTAATTTTTTATGATTGAATTAGAAGACCCTAAATATTAGAATTAAAAAGATGTAAATGTTGAATTGTTATATATGTTATAGTTGTATAATTTTGCACAATATTAAATAGGAATAAAAATGTATAAATGTGTAATAACATTGCAATATCCGTAATCTTTTTCGAAAAATAAGCAATCTTTCGTTTATACGTTTTAATTATAATTTTTGATAAGTAAAATAAAAAATTAAAATTGATTAAAACGTCCCACAGAATCTGGATCGATTCATGTTTGATTAGGCGCCATTAAACCGCCTTCAAGGCGTCATTGGGCGTCATGTGCTATCTGGGATCAAACATTGTCTTTAGATCAGCTTGATTGCGGGGTCCTACTACGAACTGAATAATAAAGTGCATGACAACGGAATGCTCATTACGCGATATAAATACCATAATTCTGTTGCTATAGCGGCGAGACGATATTGTATTTACAAATTGGCACTTTCTCCGGTTTGGAATAGTATACAGTTGTCGGTAATGTTATTTGTTCCGATGCGTGGTCAACCGAGAGAATTTCCAGTACGAACGGCGACGAACGACTGTCACTCGTGCTCATTAACTTTCTATACCCTTAGGAATTAGTATTAACTCCATAATACATATGTATAAATATACATAAGTCTGCTGAAAGAGGTTTAAAATTTTATCAGTATCATACTGATCAATCTACATGCATCATTTGAATATTTCGGGGTTGAAATACGTTCTAATTAAATTTTATTTCGAGAATCTCGTATCGATACTCCGTTTGAATATCGAGGGATCAAGTGAATGAGTACCAACTATTGTTCAGATCACGTCCTTTCGTCGCGCGTCGTTCTAGTAAGCAAGGCAAAGGATACCTTTCGATTCTATTATACACGCGGTACTACGAGTATGTACAACGACTAACGGACAGTTGACTTCCACGTCGCCTATTCCACGCAAACGTCTACTCTTTCTCTCTCTTTCGTTCTCTCTCACTTTCACTCATCTCTCTTTCTTCCTCCTTTTGTGAAGTTACTTATGTTATGTTTGAACACAATGATCGAAAGTTTTCAATCACAATTGATTTACGCGAACGTGACTGCTGCGTACGTTCACCTACACATAATTCGATTTCCCGGCTGAATTGCGGCTACCACAAGTTGCATCATCAATTCTGCGTCTTATCCGCCGCTGACCGTTGCTTCCTCTCGTCCTTGTGTCATTCTTCCACCAATTTTTCTTTCCAACCGCGGTGTTCGTGTCTACATCATTTCTAAACTGATAGCCGACGAAAGCTTCTCGATGAAGACTTCGAAAGATCTGTTCTTCAGTCTGCAGGCCACTGAGTAATATGCTGATTAACGGAGGTTACGATTAACAGCTGAATCGTGAAACCACAGATTTCTAGTTGTTTAAATCTCAGTCGTGTCCGGTTGCGGTAACCAAGAGGCTACTACCAGAAAACGGTAGTAAAAGTTAGACGGAAATTTGTTGCATCCAAAATGGCGACTTGAAGGATACGAGGTGGACTTGTAGCTTCGATAGGCTAAAGATGTCGCCACCTCCGAGAGGCATTCGTTAATCAGATTGCTCGGCTTGGTGCTTGCGAGAGAATAGTGGAACCCGTTGAAAATGATGGGAAATCGACGATGGTGATAAAGACTGACTAGGCAATATGTGCGCTTTAACGTGACAATGCGTAACGCGAGGAACAAGCATCGGTGAGCGCGATCGACGTTAACACATTCAGAACGACAGCGAATTCACAGAAATATTCTAGCTTGAAACGAAACAGCTCGATTTCATCGGAACGTTTTTCATTATTAACAATTTACTTTTCCGTCTTTAAATTTTCTCGTCGAGAACAAAGTTGTGTGCTTTCTTTCTTCAACAGCTCGACAAAATGGCAGATACTTATTAGTTACAAGATAATTATAATATAATTTTATAATTTGCAAATTGGTAAACTAAGCTATAGCTAGAGGGTAACCCACCGATAGAACACGTCGTTCTGTTATAGAGTATCACTGAGTGTTCCAGCCGTGGGTTAAGGTGTACTGAATGTGTTAAACGTGTCAATAGCGGAGACACGACCGATCCGACCGGTTGTGTTCAGCGTCGTTTTATCTACGTTTGAGGTAGAGTAATTCGGGAATGAGAAAAAATTGGAGTGTCACCGGGTGGATAATTGAATAGCAGAGAAACCTTTGGCAGTAGAGAATTTTGCTTCGTTCTTCAGCTGATTCCAAATGTCCGATCGCCTGGCCGCCGTTCCATTTGTTGCTCTGTTCGCCATTACTTCGCACCCGGTATTTTTCCTAATACCTGAAATAGTCGAAAGAGAAACCGATACATTAACGTCTTACGCTTTAATGTCGTTTAACATACTGTCGAAACGTGGAAAGATGCGTGTGAAGCTCTACAGCGACGTACAGTGCAAAATCTAATTCTATTCGCGGTTATGGAAATATAACCGATGCTTCATCCGCAATTGTTATCTGGTGGCTACAGTTATCAAACTTGGAGCGTAGATTTATAATCCAAGAAATATCTGCTTAAGCTTCGAGGCGTCAAAAAATTAATCTATGAAACTAGCTAAGTCTGATCGTGGCTCTTTCCGCCATCTTGAAGAAAGAGTATCAGAGTAGATTCCAGAGTTAGTACAGTAACTTTAAATAGGGTATCTTTTCAGAAAGAAACTATTTTGAATAATCGATAACAAAAAGCATCGTTACATTACGAAAAATCATTGTTTTCGTTTCTGCCCGAAAACTTTTGGAACAAACCGTGTATTAGCAATAATTTAAACAGAATCAAATTTTTACAGGATAATCTTTCCATGTTATACACATTTTAGAAGATTGAAGGCCTTTTAAACATACTTTTGAAAGATCTACACCGGTCAGTGCTTGAACAGCTGGAGGTACTTGCCCCACAAGGCGTGTAATTTCTCCGCTGGTCGTGTCGCTACCTCCCAGAAGGACGATTTCCTCCGTTCTGGCCAATGGCGCTGCTACCTCTGCTGCGATCTGAAATACATAACACATCGTTATCGGAACTAACATAGCGTGAATACAGTTAGTTCAAGAAAATTACAAGGAAATAATCATACGTGCATTTAAAATTAGTTATAATGTATTATAATTTACTACTACTGATAACATCATCGTAAAGACCGACTGGAAATTATGCTATGCTTTCGGTTGCTTGTTACCAACTATACTTTCCAGACCAAGGACTCCTTATAAAGATTATGAAACCTCTAAACAAGCATATTCTTTATCGTTCATTTGGGTTATAACCTGCGTAAATAATAATTGTCTGTGATATTGATACTTCTCAAAACATGTATTTCGATAATAATAATCTGTTGGTCGTAAGGATGGGGATAGTCGGTGATGGGACTAAAAGCATCACAAGCTGTTAAATACTCCTTTCCCAAGAACATAAAATGAATCATTTCTGGATCGTCGAGCACACGAAAGATACAGGGTCCAATGGTATGGGCAAAAGTCTATGGCATTTCATAATTATGTTCTTTCAAAACAATCACCGGTATTTGTATAGAATATCCTCCAGTGTTTAACAATATGGGAATTAATATGGGAATTAAGATTCCTCACCTTTGGCAGAGCGTTTAGAGCGATGTTCAGAATAGCCGCTTCACCGTATTTCTTGTAAACGGCAGCCTTCATCCGCATACGTTCAGCTTCCGATACCCCTATCGCCTCTAGAGCGTGAGCTTCGGCTTCTCCGATCAATCGAATCTTCTCAGCCTCGGCTGTGGCCGCATTTACGGTCTGCGTTCTAAAAACGACGAAACCAATTAAAGCATGCTAACGTTGCAAATCAGCAGAGAAATCAATTCATTTGTTCTGCCCGCTAAGTCTGACTAACTGTTTTCGCGTACTTGAATATTCGATGAATATTGTTACAATTAGGCTTAATAGCGACATACTACAATTATCTGAACCTCGATTAATAAACATTTTTATTTATGTCTCTTTTTCTTTCCCTTTATTTTTTTGTTGCAATAATTTTATATTGTGTAATAAAGTCGAATTATTATTACTATTTCGTTACTTAAAGAGATGCTCGTTACCAAATATGTCGTTGAATTCGTCTTGAAATGTTTAATAACATGAGAATAATAAAAATTACATTATTATTAAAATCTCTGTAATAACAATTAAAAAAATTCAAATATTCTATTAACTTCACTTTATGAAATCAAGCAAGAGAAACATTTTTTTGCATTTTCAATAGCCGTAGAAATAATAACGTGTGTATAATACATTTGATATGAACATACTCTATATGGACGGTAGAGTAATTAATAATAATTTCACGGAAAATTTACCTTTTTCCTTCTGCCACTCTGCCAATTTTGTAATGTTCAGCCTCAGCCGGTAATCGTACGGTGCTCTGAAGCTCGTACTCCATTCGACGGACCTCCTGATCCTCTACCTCGATCTGTTTACGCCTCTCGACGATTTTTATCTGAATCTCCTCGTTTCGTATGCGTTGCCTGATCTTCGCCGCTTGAAGTTCGTAGGCCAGCTGAGCCTCGGCTTTCTGCAATTAACATAAATATCATTGAACTGAAAGCTTCGCTACATGAACCCTTTCGAGACTGACGTTCCAAGGTAAGTTTTACAATGACTGCTAGTGTATATATACAGTGGACTCTAACTATATTGCCACTAAACATATTGCCACGCGAGGCACTTCCCCTTCACACTTGCGCATTATCACGATCCAGCTTTTGCGCAGGCGCTGAGGCCCAGGTTATGACGATAGAACTTAGCATGGAGGGGGCTCTAAACACATTGTCATTTTACTCCCCTACAGCCCCGACCATGGCAATATAGTTAGAGTCCACTGTATATTGACATGCGTTACGAAAAGTAGCACGTTTCTTTATGACACACAGTACTCGTTTCATTTATCTTACGAAGACTAGCACTTTATGTTGGAGCGAATTTGTGTGGTCGAAAGTTCGTGTGAGGGGGAAGTGTCTCGCGTGGCAATATGTTTAATGGCAATATAGTTAGAGTTCACTGTATTTCTTATACATTTTAATTTTGTTTCATGTTCAGAATGTTTTTAGTAGATCTAATGAATTCAGAATTGAATAACAAATCTTTTCTAAAATATTACAAAAATTTGTTTGGAACAAAATATCATCTAAACAGTCCCCTGAGTTAAAATGAGTAATCAAATATTTGTTATACTCTAAGAAAATTCAGGTCTAAAAGGGTTAAGAAAAGAATCGCGTTTTTACAAATGATGGCGGAAGAAGAAAAGATGTGTAGGTACGTCTAAAGAGATTCTGTCATAGTTTCCGGTACAGTCGAAGAGAAACAACGGCTTATTAAGGATTAAAGGGGATTAAGGATAATCTCTTAAGCATCAACGTACCGCTGTGTTCACTTCCTGATCGAAATTCGCTTTCTGTAGCTGGAAAAGTCTGGCATTGTCTTCGACTTTCGTGTCAGTATTGTACTTTATGTCCATCGCTGCTTTCTCGCATTCTGCTTCCTGTATTAAGAAACGAATAAGTTAATTGACAACGAAACGATGTACAGGGTGTCTCACATAAGTGTCGCTACGAATTTTGAAGAAGTTTTTGATTTACGAAAAATATAATTCAACGTTTGTTCAACATAATTTTTTGTCAAGTTCAAGGAATGTTTTCACATTTCGTGACGACATTTACGTGGGACGTCCAGTATATGTATATATTATTAAAGTGATCCAAACGATTGTGACAATTATTGTCAGAAATTGGTAAACAGAGTCGTCAAGTATAGATTTAATATAGACCATCTCTTTCCACTAGAATGTCTATTTTTCTGCTGTAAACGAAATGGAAGCATTTTACATTTTACATTTTACAATAACTATTTCTTGAAAATATTAAAGTTTGTTCGAGGCGTAATGTGTTTTGCAGTATTTCAGACTTATGAATACCACACATTCATCCTCAACATAGTTGTTTCCAAGATAACATTTAATATACAAATTTCTTGAGAAAAGTATTAAAATACAAATTCGGTTATTGAGTAAAGGTATTAAAATACAAATTTCTGGAGAAAATAACCGAACTATAAATTCTGTTCCCTCATCTCTTCCCTTCTCGAGTCTTTAAAAACAGTTATGGTACCAGATGGAAAGCCTATTTTTCGTAGTTATGACGCTATAACAAATGTATGAAAGTTCTAATTCGAATATATATATATATATATATGTATATATAAAAAATCATGAAGAAATCTGCCCGTCCTCTAAAGGTTAATTGATCGATCAATTCTTGCGGTATTCAGCGCACATACTCGTGCTTAAACTTACTCGGATACCAGCGTCGCGGTTCGCCTCGGCGACGCCAACGTCGGCGTCCCGTTTAACGACCGCCGTCTGAGCTTTGCCAAGAGACGCTAAGTATTGAACGTCGTCGTAGACATCCTTTATCGTGAACGACAGAATTTCGATGCCCATGCGTCCGACATCTGGAGCCGCGACTTCCCTTACAAGCGTCGCGAATTGATCCCGATCCTTATATATCTCCTCCACCGAAAGGGTACCTGTAAGTTTAGCAAAGTTCCATTTTTATCTTATGCTATTGTGGACTGTTCATAAAGATAGTGGTAGTGAAAGCATACGATTCGTGGTTTACCCTCTATACATATGTGTATCATTGACAAATGGTGATGTCGACATTAATTACGAATTCAAAATTTCATTCCGAGAACATACTGGCCAAAAACTGTGTCCACGTGTCCTAGAGTTCTGTTTCTCGATCACGATCGAGATTTTCTCAAGCTCACCTAATATTGCACGAAGATGACCTTCCAGGGTAGAGAGGATCGTCGATTTGATCTCGTGTACGCTCTTCTCCAGAAACTGTGCGCTGGCAGTGTGCAAAATTTTGCATTGGGCCACCCCTGTGACGGTTAGCGGGACGCCTTGGGCGGTCTCCACGTTTCCGCAGACTGGATTCAGTGTCATCACCTCCAAGGACAGTCGTTGAACGTCGGTGACGAACCACCATGTGAAGGCGTAGCCCCCGACGATGGTTCTCTTCCTCATCAATCCGCAACATCCTCCTGTAATTATAATTGACGAACAACTTTAACACGATGAATGTCGGGCAATTTTGTATTTTTGGTCAAATTGCAAAAAAGCTGCCTACCCTCGGATTTCGATCATTTTTGGATATGTTGTAAAACTCGACATTTTGAACAACTTTTCCCTATACATACAACGGGGGGACTTACTAAAGTTTACGAGATATTCGCGAAAAAACTGCTGGCACTAAGACATTGAATTCTGCCAATAGATGTGGTTATTTGACTGCAACAGAATAACGATTCATTCTTAGCAGAGTTACTAGGCACTTGCCCTCCTCCCCTGGACGGAAAAAAGTGAGTTTTGCCCAAGTATAATTTGAAACACGACCAACAGCCTCTACAAAACGCATAAATTTTCAACGATTTATGACTTTAAAAACTGAATAAAGTGAGTCTGGCTACGTACAGCCTTTTTCACTGTGGCAGTCGATGTGTTAATATTTTTGCCCCGCTCCCTCCCCCTTCTGACTGATAAACTGGTTACGCCCATGCTACTATATCTATGTATCAGTATGACATAACAGTTGTATTAACTTTTTAAACTAGTTTTCAGAATTACTATTTTACTTGAGCAATAGTGAAAACAGTGCAACTCTACTTTGAAATATTTTATTTATTTCCAACTGATATACATATGTATTTAAATAATTTATACCAAGCGATACAAACATGAAGAATAAGTGAGTCGAACTTGCAGGGTTTAAATAGTATTTGAAATATTTTTTACTCTACTTTTCACGGTAGCTCTTGTGTAAAGACAAGAAATAAAAAAATCACGGGAGCCTAATTCTCGTCGACACATGTATGAAAGCCAAAAATTTTCGATGCTGTATCGTTACGTGACTTATTACGAGAAACGAACGGCTGTAACGTAAGAGACGTTAAAGTTGCTCCTCCGACCGTTGTTTATAATAATACCACGATTCGATTTGTGATTCAATGATCGTTAAAGACAATACATAACAGGAACTATGTTGCAACGGTAAGTAGGTCGTAGCCGTGTAGCGGCCGACGCCGCTCTTTACCGTAAGTCCGCTCTGATGACGTCAAAAAATGAGTGCCGGGTTTGTTCAGACGGGGACGTGACGAATACCACGCAACTCGCAGACGTCGATTTTGAAATTATTTTCAGTGAGTCACAGACGTATTCGTATCCGTCCAATTGTAAATTTCAAGCGATTGACATTTTTTCTAAAACACAAGTTTCAAAATCCTTATCAATAGGGAATGTATGTCGTTTTAATGAAAGTTTCGATTGATATAAATTTTATTGCGAAATGTTAACTGAGTCTAATGAAAGTAGGAATGTAAGTAAACTATCACAGAATTAAGTTCACAAAAGTATTCTTACTTAGGCCATTGGTATTAAAGATACCATGAACTTTTTAAGAAGTACAGTAAATCCTCGGGGATTACTGTATGGTATTCCCATATGGTATACTGGGTGGTACTCGTCACGTCTGCGATGGACAATACCCGTTAGTAGTAAATGTAGGTCCTTTTTCACTCTCGACACGGTACACCTGTTCAAATATTTCTCGGCAGCAGAGAGAATAAGAAATTATCGGTGGAAATCCGAATAATTTGAATAACAGGAAATTTTAGAAAAAAAAGCAGAAAAAATGTAAATATCAGATAAAATATGATGTTATAGGTTTTAGTCGAATTTGTATAAATTAAGTAGAATAGACAGAAATTTTGAGAGAAAAAACAATACTTAGAAATTGGAATGATACATTATTCATACCATTACCTATATTTAATGGAGTTTGAATATTCTGTAAAATTGATGTTTACATGATTATCGACATTAAATTGACAAAAAATTTTTCTATCGATATCTTACGAGAGTGTCGAAAAGATTATGAATTCTGTGTAACAATGGTTGCGAACAGACCTACCATTAGAGCTGTTGCGTGTGTTTAGGATAGTTGAAACACTTCGTAGATGTTTGATAATGGTATTCGGATATTCCCGTTCGTAAGTTACAGTAATCCAAATCCCGTTTACGACATTCTTCCGTGCTGAATCCGAGTGAATTTACCTTGTATTTTAGTCATTCGCTGAGCGTACGTTTTTTACTGTTATCTTTATTATGCGTTTACTAAGTAACCGATGTATATTAAATTTTTCATATATTTATTACAAAACACAATAGATTCATAAATGTAAAATAAGTGCTTTATGGTATAATTAATTATAAACCGAATGTTAAATGCAAACCTTCAGAAAAGTCGGGGAAGAGATGATTCATTATTCATTTACTTACATTGTAATTTACATATGCAAAATAGTTTAAGCGTTTCTTGTTACATGTTTATTTTTCAAAAAGCAAAACAGGGGAAAATCAACAGAGATAAATTTTAAACTGTTTTAAAATTTTGCAACTAATTTAAATAAAAAGTTATATCGAAGCAATTTACTAGTTACAATTTTTTATTCCATCTTAATGAATATGTCCTAATGTTATTACTGATATGAACAGAATAATAAAACTAAGGATAGATAAATTGGAAGCGTAACAAAACAATGAGACTCTCTCGCAACCAGCGTAAATTTCCAAATTTCTCCAGCAAAGAAGAATTTCCAAATGACGAGTTAACTCATCTTTGCTGGTTAAACGGGTTAAACATAGTTCGTTAGCCAATCAAATTTGGGTTAATCCTGCCATCAAACATCCGAGGAGTCGTCCCGAGTAAACAAGATCCTTGCACCCGAGGAAATATACTTTCCTCTCGTCATAAATTCATACCAAATATTGACCAAGAGAAAAGTACAGCTAACGATCAAATTACTAAAACCACAGTACGAAAAACATGTTTTGTTTTTTGTGCTTGCGTAGAAATAGAAAATCGTAATATCAAGGATTTTACACTGGATAATTTTTAATTAACAATTGTCCACTAAAAATATACCCAAAGAATTAAACTTAACTTGCGTAATTCTGAAAAATGTAGTTGCAATCGTTAAATCGTCCATTTATACAGGGGGTTCTAATACTATAATTTGATTACCAGATCGACACTCTGTGCTCGAAGCTACACAGTTTACACATTTCGAGTGTGCAGAATCAACTTCACTCTCAGATTCCGCAACCCCTGCGTAAAGTTCCATTTCTACAGGGGCCAGGCTACTAGGTCGACGAACGTAGTATATGTATAACTCAGGTCAGTATAACACTTTGAACCCTTGTTTTTTTTTTTTAATTTTTTATTTAGCTCTAACCAACTTAAATCAGTATAATGCTTTGAACAGTATTTTTTTTTTTGTTTCTTACCTAACACCAACCAACTGAGATCAGCATAATGTTTCGAAAAGTATTTTTGGAAGAAACTAAGTTCCCAAAGTTCAGATTTCTGGGAAAATTACGGTACGTGTTTCAATCTTTCTTTGTTAATAACTATTTAATAACCAACGTTCGGCGGTTTAAATCTTTCAACGATTACTCAGGAGGATGACCTTGATAATATGTATCAAGGTCAGGGTTATCGAGTGTGGATGCTTTTCGGAAGTTCACCCTTAAAATTAATAATAAATGATTCGTAGATGAAGTCCCGGAACCTTTTCGATCAAACCTTGTACCGAAAGAACGGTCCCAGGGAGGAGGTGGGAGATAAGTGTTTGAAGAATGAGCACGAGGAAGTGGAAGAGAGGGGAAGTCGATGACCGTTATGCGGCGTGTTCACCGTCGAAAGGTTCGTAACCTGTTCGTTCACGAGCCGCTGCTCTCCGATCTCGATGGATCCAGCATGCAGACACTCGTGCTAGCCAGCAAGGTCATGGTCAGTGTTACACCGTCCTCCGAGCTACTATTACATCTCGATCACGAAGAATTCGTGCAGTTCACATGATCGAAAAAAAAAAAGAAAGAATAAAATAAAAAAGACAGCAGTGATAGATGAACGGTGGCCTCGTTCGCGGATCTGAATTTTGTGGAACAACGTCCGAAAGAGGATATCACCGGTCGCCTCGAGGGGATAGTCCAGTTCTTTGCTTCGTTCGCATCACAGCTACGAACTGTCATTGACATTTCATACTTACCAATTAACACAGAGTGTGTATATTTTGACAACTGTCCTGTCGAATACTCGCGTGTTTGAATCATTCTGTGACTCGACGTGCCTCTACTCTTTCGCTTTTGGTGAATAACATGGACGTTTTGGGACTCCGGTTTGGGGAAACAATCTTTTGAAGATCGAGCAAAAAATTGGAAACATTAAGGAATATATGTATTATGTATTGAAAGTATATGGGAAATTGGTAGCTGCGAAGGTTTCCTAAGTTTGGAATCAGGATTGTGAAGTCAAGAGACTTATTAATCGTGTTGTTACTGAGGATTGTCAGTAGTGGACAGCTGAAGTTGACGAGTTGTAGGGCGAAATAGCAGTAATGGGGTACGATCAATCGTACGAAATTATGTGGTCAACTAGGAGAACGGGAAATCATGGCGAGGAAGCAACGTGGAAACGAAAATTATTGTGCGAAAATGTGGAACCAATGGGAAATAATTAAATGCATCGATTAGTTGGAGTGACAGAAACTTCTAGACTCCATGTACCTGCTATCGGCCAGGAAGTAGGTGAGCGAATACTGCTTTCCTTTTCGAATGTTCATTACTGCGTGTTCTCTTCTCAAAATATAATTTACCATTTTATCCGCGTATCTTCAATTGAACGATAAAGATGCGTTGTTTGTTTCTACGTTTGAATAATTTTGAAATTTGTACAATTTAACTTTCTGTACTTGACAACTTGGTATTGTCTGCAGAAAAACGTTTTTTTTTTTGGTTAGTATTTGTAAAATTCAATTATACGAGCATCACGTCATTTAAACTATTCGTATAATCGAGGTTATAATGTATAGTACAATCTTACAATAAATAAGTGGTATTTTTTTTTCTAATTTGTTATATTAACTGTAATAAATATTTATCGTTAATTTATCCTGACATCCGTTATAAAATCGTGTTATTTAAAATTGTTCATAATGAGACCATTGCTTTCATTCGAGTAACGTGTTTTTAGAAATTTATTAGAAAAGTAACTGAAATTGGAACTTCGTATACATATATTTTCCTTAACGAATTTAGAGCAAATATGAATATGTGTGACATACTAAAACAAATATTTAGATGAAGATTAATACTCTGTTCAGTTTATTTTATAAGTTTATGCTTGATTTTTCCATTTTTATTTTGTTCTTACAATGTTTGTAACAATTCTAAATGGAGCGTTGTTTTGTGCCCTGTACAGTTAAAAAGTGTTATAGTACGTAGGGCTATGTAAAATATAATAAAATGTAAAATTTCAATCAGACTTTCTAAATTTTTTATTTTATTCTTAATCCAATAAAATCCTTATTTATTTTTATACCTTTTTCTATGAATTACTTGAAGAATTTTAAGTTTGCATAGAGATTCACAGACTATGTATAACTTACACGATTGGTTGAAAGGATTTTAATTAAAAAAAAAATATATAGAGTAAGTGCATCTAATATCGTCTACTCAAATTCAAATCGTTTTCAATTGAAGGGTAATTGATAATTTTCTATCGAATTAGTCTCAGATAAAATGAAATTGTTTGTGTTTCATATAGGCAGCAGATTACAATTATTATATAAAGTTAAAGATTTTGAATCGTGTTTTGCAAAAGACAAGAGTGCATATGATATCGCCCATTTGAAAAATATTGATTATTTCATGTATTTATGGACTGTTTAAGGATCGAAAATTTTAAGGTGGTTTTGTAAATATACCCACGTAGTGTGTTATGTAGATACGTTTACCCTACTTAAAATAAAATGTTTTCACAGAAAACGCGTTTCGATCGCGATTCCACGATTTTCAGGAAAATTCCACGCACGATCCTTTGGTTCGACGGGATTAGCGGACTTTCGACGTGTGCATACGTGATGATCGGTCGCGGGCACATTGCCCGCGTTAATAGAAAATTACTTAACAGCTGAAAGTTTCACGTGTCATTGATATTCTTCTCGTACACGCGATCGCTTACACGAACCACGTGTAGCCGCGTCTTTGACTTTTCTTCGACCGATTTCTACCGGACCGTGGATAGGTTTCGGTTGAACAGTAACGAAGGACACTTCGTCGGAGACGGTCCTCCACGAGGATTACAACCACGAAATTGTAATAATTCGTATCGTCGGCGGTTGTGTGAAAATTTAAACGGTGAATCAAAGAGCTTCGAGATTTCAAAGGATCATCTCCTTTCCTAGAATTGGGTAAAAAAGTATTCGCCCTACCCTGAGTGTCATTTTAATTTTATAACAATTTAATACGTTCGTGAAGTAATTGTTGTGTCAAAACTTGTTCTAAACATTATTAGTTAGCTTACTGTTTCAGATGTTTCTTATATGTTCGTAGTCGTTATTAGACTGTACGGATTTCTGTTACGAAAGAAGATGAATAATTAATATAAAATTTAAGAATTTTTTATATTTTACTTTAAATATGATAAATACATTCCTGTGGCGTTCTGGTTTTAGAAAATTAGACTATAAAAATATGGAGAACATATTCGTTATGCAACATTATATTGTATTTTGGTATTAGCAATCTTTTGAACTTATGATGAACTTATATTGTTCGTATAATATTATGAGCAGTACTGTACATTCTTACATGTCCCATTAGCATGTACAAAAGGCGAATATATACCATTTATTGTTAACGTTAAAACTATCGACCATAAACGTAGGGTAAATGTTTCAATTACTGCCTACATAAACCGTTAATAACTCTTTTGTTGATATAATGTTACAGGTTCTCGATAAAGGATAATCCGAGAAATCATAAGATGGATATCCAGAGTGTTTTAGCCGGAGGCCTGACCTCAGCAACCAGCGGACTTTCATGGTTCTTTCCGGTGCTGGCGGCCGCGCTCGTGTATTTCCAATACGAAGTAATGGACAACGAAGCGCCACCAATTAATATACCGTCCGAAGTGCTTCTGCCAACCTACGATTTTATCGTGATAGGAGCTGGTTCCGCAGGTACATTTTCTTCATTATTAACAGAGTTGGGCAAAATGTAATCTAATTACAAAATTCAAATCACAATTACAATGTAATTGCAAGACAATTACAATTACAATGTAATTAACTATACTAAATTTAAAATAAAAATTACAGTGTAATTGTAATTGTAATTGTCTCGCAATTACATTGTAATTGCAACTTAGATTTTGTAATTAGATTCAGGTACTTCTACCGAAACGTGAATACCGGTATTATTCCGGTATTATAGGATTTTTAAAGTACTTCTGTTCTACTAGAACATGTATTTCAAGGTCACTTTTACTTCAACAGGCTCTTTGGGCACTTTTTACCTTTTCCTCGCGACGAAACGAATACAATGAAAAGATAAATAGTTAAATCTGCCACTTCTTTAAAATAAAAGTCACAGAGTTTCAGCTAAATTTATATGACAGAATAACATCATTTCCTAGCAGAAAAATGTGTCAAATTGACACAAGGGGCGAGGATGAGGGTTCTTTAACAGATTAATAATTATTTCACTTTTACTGTAATCCAATTTTTCTGAAGCTTCTATAATGTTCGCCGTAGGAGCTGTCGTCGCGAGTCGACTATCCGAGATCGAAAACTGGAACGTCCTTCTTCTGGAAGCTGGGGGCGATGAAACAGAAATTTCAGATGTTCCGCTTCTTGCCGGTTATTTGCAGCTCAGTCAACTCGACTGGCAATACAAAACGGAACCGGAAACAGGTGCTTGCATGGGTAAGCAATTTAATTAACTGATGTACCATACACAGTGTTAATCACGAGAAACAGAACACCTAAATATCTCTATTGGGATTGAAGTCGGGAGAATATGTCCTAATAAAGGATAAAAATTGTATTGTTCAAAGGGACATACGTGCTTGGTATAAAAAAACCTTTTATTACATGTTATTTTCACGATTATTTGGAGGTAACTGATGTTTTCTTTTAATTATGTCACGTAGTTTTATATTCACAGCGTTGTAGCTGATGTCAGGATGAATTCCGTGAAATAGCATACTATGATCTTGAAATGACCTTGGACTCAGGAATCTAGGTTCGATCAACACGGAAACATATAACGAGTAAAATTTAAATTGATTTGAACATTTGAAACTGACGCTTCATAGCTTTACAAAACAATTAAATATTTGTATCGGTACAGAAGGTCATCACTTTGAACATTTAATTTGATCTAAATGAAATAATTTTCTATATTAACGTTTATGTTGATCGAACTTAGATTTCTGAATCCAAGGTCATTACGAGATCATAATATCCTATGACGCTGAACTCGTTTTGACATCAGCTACAAGACAATAAAGTTAAAACCACATGATACCATTTTAACACTTCGAGTCCACAGATCCTAAAAGTTCTTAGAACTGTAAATACGTGGGGGACAAGTGACCCCAAGTGATTTAAAACTCGAAATATCTCTTAAACTACGGACTTTTCGAAGAAAGTTGTACAAGCATTTGTTGAACTTTAACGTTTGTACTTTCAGGTAGAATAGTCGAGATTAAAGACTAAATAAATTAAAATAATCAAAAATCGGGGGTTAAAGTACATTTTCAAAGATCGAGGTTCAGATCAAACATGGGACTGGCGTCTTTTATCCTCCCGATGCACTCCAACTGTTAAGAAAACATCGATGACCGTCAAATTATCTTAAAAATAACATCAACCAAAAAGTTCGTTTACACCACTTTTGCAGTTATTTTTCGATCAATCTTTCAAACTGACCTTTTATCGAATTTCATGCTCCAGCAATGGAGCAGGGTCGCTGCAACTGGCCACGCGGCAAAGTGATCGGAGGCAGCAGCGTCCTGAACTACATGCTCTACCTGCGAGGTAACAAGAAAGACTACGACGTATGGGAACGACAAGGTAATCCTGGTTGGGGGTCCAGGGATGTCCTGTATTACTTCAAGAAGTCCGAGGACAATCAGAACCCGTATCTGACGCGTACACCGTATCACGGGACCGGCGGTTACTTGACCGTCCAGGAAGCGCCTTGGCACACACCACTGGCCGCGGCGTTCGTCCAAGCTGGCCAAGAGATGGGCTACGAGAATCGTGACATAAACGGGGAACATCACACCGGGTTCATGATCGCACAAGGAACGATCAGACGTGGCAGTCGATGCTCGACAGCGAAGGCTTTCCTTCGACCGGCCAGGCTGCGCAAGAACCTCCACGTCGCCATGCACTCGCACGTCACGAAGATCCTGATCGATCCGAAGACCAAGATGACGTACGGCGTGGAGTTCGTCAGGGACGAGAAGATCTTTCGTATACGAATAAAAAAGGAGGTGATCGTGTCCGGGGGTTCGGTCAACTCTCCACAATTGCTGATGCTCTCAGGGATCGGACCCAAAGAACACCTTCTGCAACACGGAATCCCTGTGATCCAGGATCTTCGAGTTGGCCACAATCTTCAAGACCACGTTGGCCTCGGTGGACTGACCTTCATGGTCAATCAAGAGATCTCCATGGTGGAGAAACGATTACACAGCGTCCAGGCGGTGATGCAATACGCTATCTTCGGAGATGGTCCTCTAACCGTTCTGGGTGGCGTCGAGGGCCTAGCCTTCGTCAACACGAAGTACGTGAACGCATCTGACGACTTTCCTGACATCGAGCTGCACTTCATATCGGGCTCGACCAACTCTGACGGGGGAAGACAGATCAGGAAGGTCCACGGTCTCACCAAACGATTCTACGACGCTGTTTTTGGACCCATAAGCGACAAGGACGTGTGGAGCGTGATACCGATGCTTCTCAGACCGAAGAGCAAAGGCGTTATCGAACTGCGCAGCAAGAACCCGTTCGATCATCCTTTGATTTATCCGAATTACTTCAAAGAGCAGGAGGATGTTGCCACCTTGGTCGAGGGAGTGAAGATAGGCGTTGCGTTGAGCAGAACCGCCGCGTTTAGACGTTTCGGCAGCGAACTGAACTCGAAACAGTTCCCAGGCTGCAAGCACGTACCGATGTACAGTGACGGTTATTGGGAATGTATGATCAGACACTATTCGGCGACGATTTATCATCCTGTTGGCACCTGCAAGATGGGCCCTTATTGGGATCCAGAGGCAGTTGTCGATCCACAGCTTCGAGTGTACGGCGTGACCGGTCTTCGTGTGATGGACGCCTCTATTATGCCGAATCTCGTCAGTGGTAACACCAATGCGCCGGTTATCATGATCGGGGAGAAAGGATCGGACATGATAAAGGAATTCTGGTTGAAACGTAGAGGTCGAGGATGAACGGTTTGTAGTTCGTAAATCCGTGTTTATTCGAAAGGGAATCTGAACTTTTGATAGAATCGAGACAGTGATTCTCGTGGGTGGACGCGTTACGGTGTAACTGAAACTTTTGTAAATATTGCCAGCTACTATCAGCTGTTACAGAAATGTGAAATAAATTTGGACGTGCATGTGATTTCGATGATAGTAGATCGGTGTTTGACAGTGGTGTAACGTGACCAAGATGTCGCGATAATGACGTACGAACTGAACGGTCTGTTGTGTCAGTTATGTGCAGTCGGTATTTTTTGTTGTATTAAGATATGGAATCGATGAATACGTCGAAGTTATCTGTATTTGTACAGTAGTTGTTTTGGCGGAAGCGACGCATTATTATTGTTAACAACTCGGTAAGCAGAGTCTGAAAGCAAGACTGCTTTACGGATATTTTGATTGCACTGGAATTTCTCAAGAATAGCCAGTAGATGTAGTGCTGATTAAAATTCAAAGGAGAAAGCACTCAGATTCCACTTAAAATTAATAGATATTACATTCAGCTTCGATAAAATAATATATTAAATGGAAGAATAAAATTTCGGTCGAATGAGATTGAATTTTCCATACTTTTTTTTTAGATTGTTTAAAATATTTAATGATCATAAAATTATGTTTGAATACGAACACAACCAATCTGATTCATTGTGATTTTTCTAGGTGCAATTAAAATAGTTAATATGAATGCTTCTTGTAATTTGTTTTTACTGATGCTACCGTGAGTTTTATGTTAAATAAAAACTTGCAAATCCGTGTAATTTATCGAGATTAATGGTGTTTCTTATTTCCACCACTTCTGCTTTCGTTTTTATTTATTCCAGAGATTCAGGATGACGCACGTGGCATATCGATGAAGTTTGTATGTACGTGCTCCCATGATTTATCGGTATTATCATCGTACTATTTCGTCACGTGTTCTAAAAACCGTACACAATCAACAAACAAATAATCATTAAGAGATCAATATACGTATTTCTCATTGATATAAGTTATATCATATAACTGAATTTTCCGAAACAAATATTAGATAAGAATTTATATCTTGTGTTGAGGTTTTTATTAGCTTCAGAGTGCACCAGGGATTTCATATACAGAGTGTTAATTTTTAATCGAGCATCTAAATTATTTCTGCTACTATGGGAAGTAGAAAAAAGTGACTTAATACGATGTGAATGGTTTCAACGCGTAAGGTATGTGTTCCAATTACGAATCCTGTCCGAACTATGGAGCCTCTGTATTAAAATCATCCTAAAAGAAATAAATTTTTTTGTTATTGATTAAATTTAATCATTAACAAATAAGATTCAAAGTAAAAAACGACAAGTTTAACATATTATAGAGTTATAAGTATTTATTAAAATATATGCATTACGATTTCGGTGATTTCATAGAATTTATTCTTCAGAATCTTAAGAAATGCTTCTGAAACTATTTCATATAATTCACCATTTAAAAATTTATACTTTTACAAGTAGTGCAAGGTGTTGCAGAATGACAGCGAATATTGCTAAGGCTTTTAAGGTATTTAATTTCCTCTAAATTAAGTATTCTACTAGGTCGAAAGTTTAAGATTATTAAATAGGGCACCTAATGTATTCTATAATAAGAATATAAAAGGTGTTCTCTGATATTTTAAGAAATTGTACGATATCAAATTTTCAAAGATAATAAATATAGAAGCATTTCAGAATTGCCAGACACCGTGGTTGACTGGCGAAGGTTCTGTTTTTATTGTTAATATTATTATAGTTAATTTTATTCCAGGAACATTCGACGATTGTTGCCACGATTGCAAAAGATGCATCGAGGCACGTCGACAAATAACCTGCTGACACAACGCGTAATGAAACGCCGATAGCATCTACCTGGATTTTATTCAACAGGTTCATTCCTCCTAGTTTGTTCAGAATCAAGCGTACGTGGGCAAAAACAGTGCGTGAAGTGAAGTGAAGTGTTTTTTAGAGCGTATGTTATTAATATATTAAAAGTAAATCGATTTTCTGAAAAAAGTAAATCTTTCCTTAGAAAACTAGTCTAATCTATTAGTTGGAAAAAGTTGAAGAATTGAAGGGCGTTCAGTATTCACGAAATTTATCCATAAAGATTATGATGAATCATTCTTATCGCAGTACTAAACGAGATTTAATCACAATACCGACACGAAAGATTAATGTAAATTATTAAATAAAATTCTTCTTCGTATTTCATAATATTTGCAATTTGCGAATTTCACTGCTGATTTTGTGTACTTATAGCATATGAGAATACTCAAAACACAGTGAAATGAAGATATTGATAAAGTATCATACATTATTACTAATATTATTAGTAATACTTCCAATTTGCTGATACCTTAATGAATACCTAATTGTAGCAGAGTAATTGTTGTTTAAGCCTCATATTTGAAATCATGAAATTTTAAAATACATTTTCGATGCACCATATGTGCATAAGTTTTGATAAATGAATATATCCTTGTACGTACAATAAAAATACATGTACAAAATCACGGGATTCAAATTAACAATACCATCATTCTATTAATGTATATCTAGTCTGACACTATATTTTCCTGTATTGTTGTAATTATCATTATTAGTAACAGACTGTATGGATAACAGTATTGCTACTGCTTCATATCAAATTTCCTATATTGAAGGATTATTTTTGATAGGATATTTTTTCATCAACGCTGTAATAAAAACAAATAAATTTTCAACGGACATAGCTTCCAAGTTCGTACTACTAACAGTGATTACTGTGGTCATCGAAAGAGATGGCGATTATTGGCAAACTATCCGCGTTTCGAATAGCCTTAACCTACGGACCGGAACTGAGCTTCTTAGTACTCCTGCAGCTGTTGATCGTGATCCATAGAACCGACATCACGAACCGTGAATTCAGGGTGAAACCAGTATCTCTGACTAACCTACGAAGAAGTTACGATTTCGTGATAATCGGGGCTGGGTCAGCCGGTTCAGTGCTAGCTAATCGTTTATCAGAGAATGGTAACTGGACGGTGCTCTTGCTGGAAGCCGGTCCAGACGAACCAGACATATCTGACGTGCCTGCCATGTATCCGGTTATCCAGATGACCCCGCTGGACTGGCAGTTCGAGACAAAACCATCAGAAGATTATTGTCAAGCAATGAATGGCAAACAGTGTCGCTGGCCACGCGGGAAGGTATAAAGAATTGTATTTTATGGTACAGTAGGGGAGAGTGGATAGGTTAGATCACGAGATGTTTGGGTCAGTTAGTATATTTCCATCTTTGTTACGCATACCTGATTGGCACGTTAATGGTTTGATATTGCAATAGTAGGAGTATTCATAACCTAAGCTAGAAGTTTGTACAGTGCGAATTTAAACGAGAAACAATGACATTGCCACCAATAAAAACATTGCAACATTTTATTAAAACAGTATTATATACATTTAAACGCAGCACCGTATATGTTCCGGCTTGGCCGTGCTGGGCGGCAGAGTAAGGTACGCGCACGTGTGTGAGAAATATGTGTAAGTAGGGGTCGTGTCCTTTCGTGCAGGTAACAATAGTGCGGGGATTGAATGCCTACTGTAATAATGTGCATTACGTTAAAAACGATACAATTATTAAATTACCCACAGTTACGTTAGAACTACGTTAGAACTTTAGAAACGTTTATAACTCATAGTTATGACAAAGTAGTGAAATTATTACAAGAAATACAATAGAATTTATTTAAAAAAACGGAGGTATTATAAGTGGTAGAAGCTCAAGTTAAAAGAACCACTCTATCGCTAAGTATACGTCATCAATCATCAATCGCTATCTCGATAAGGGTTTCCCTTACCGCATCGGACCACTCGGGTTCCGATCCATGGATGGGAAGCGGTGTCGTTTACTCCTGACTTTTATTCGCTGCGCAGTTATTCAGAATAACGAATAACGAATAAAGAGTTATTCGTGAATAACGAATAACGAAAAACGCTTTATTCGTGACTAAGAAATAATTTTTCGTCGAATAAAATCGTTATTCGTTATTAATAAAATTTGCCAAACTCTGCTGCAAAAGCAATAGAAAAATTAAATGACTCAAATCTCCCCCTATAAGGGAAGCATGAACCAAAAACTAGTTGTAGAACTATACGAACACGAACAACAACGAAGGGAATCCGAATAAATTTCTGACTTAATGTGCATGCGTATCTCTTAGATCTTTTCGTTTAATGTTCAAGACACTCGGGGGTAGCAGCGTGTTGAACGCGATGCTGTACGTCCGCGGCAACAGGAAGGATTACGATGACTGGGAGAAGTTAGGTAATCCAGGTTGGAACTATGAGAGCGTGCTGCCCTATTTCAAGAAGTCAGAAGACATGAGGATCGCAGAGTTTCAGAATTCCTCTTATCACAATACCGGTGGACATCTGACAGTCGAGCATTTTAGGTACCGGACTCCTATAACAAACTATTTGGTGAAGTCAGGCCAAGATATGGGATACGATATGGTGGACATCAATGGACCTACTCAAACCGGATTCACATTTTCCCACGGCACGTTAAGAAACGGACTACGTTGTAGCACTGCAAAGGCTTTTTTACGATCAGTTTCGAAGAGAAAGAATCTACACGTTAGCGTGCTGTCAACTGCAGAGAAGATTTTGGTGCGCGAAGGCAAGTGATCTTCTTCGGATTATTATCATTTTATAAATACAATCGAATTTTATGGGTTTTACTTCGGATTTTCTATTTTTCTCCGTTCTTAAACCTTTAATTAAAGTTATTTCGACTTTCTGTTTTGCTGATCGTGTTATCAACAATATCTTTTTCAATAAATGTAAAACGTCGGTATAAGAAACTTCCGATTTTCATATCCAATTTATTTCCCCATTTTTGTTATTTTTTATTTAATTCAGCCAGATCCATTATGTTACTCCAAATTACTCGTTGACAACACTGCATCTAACGGAGTACTCTATGACGCGAGGCAGACTTAAACACAACATTCTGGATATGTTTAGTCTACTCGGAATCCCATCACTAGAAATTAAGCTAGGATATCTAAGAATGTCAAATAATAAACATTATTGACAAATAAATAACATATGTCCACTGGATGTGTAAACAAAATTTATACAGGGCTATAGTATGCATAACCAATTGATGGGTATAAAACAGCCACCTTATGAAAATTGCGATAAAACTTGGTTTCCACTTATTTCCTTAATTATTCTGTTATTAAGCATAAGAAGTCATTATTGGATATATGAATTCGCAAGGAAGGAATACACGAAGCCACATGCAATTATTTTATTATACAAGAAAGAAATCTAAGAATAAATATTCAAGTGTGTTTAAAATACCCACGTTATTCATCCAAGAGTTAAAGTCGGCGGGTCACAGCCGACTCCATCATACATAAGAAATGATTATTAATTAATTCCACATACATCACGATTCTCAAAAATCTATGAACGAAGATGTATTGAAGAAACCTGGCAAAATCTCTGAAAAAAAAATCTCCATCTTTCTTCTGTACCTTTGTTTATTCAATTCGAAATTTTTTTCGATAACTGCTCGTTACTCTTAATTTCATTGTTACTGTTGATTCGCAGATGGACAGTCGAAGACCGCGCATGGCGTCCAATTTCGTGCTGGATCGATACTCCGCCAGGTAAAGGTGAATCGCGAGATCATTTTGTCCGCTGGTTCGATACAATCGCCACAATTGCTGATGGTGTCTGGTATTGGCCCGAAAGAACATCTGAAGGAAATGGGAATCCCATTGGTGCAGGATGCACCCGGGGTGGGTGAAAATCTTCAGGATCACGTGGCGATGGGCGGTATGGTTTACCTCATAGATCCACCGGAGGATTACACGAGCAAGGAGCCCTTTACATTTAATTTATTGAAATCCATTACGCCGGATACGATCAAGGAGTTCGCGGTGAATCATACTGGGATCCTATATTCGTTGCCAGCTTGCGAAGCTATGGCTTTCGTTAACAGCAAGTAAGTACTTGAAACATTTACAAACGATCACACAAAAGCGTACTCCTGATATCAACGAAGAAACTATTTTAATGTACAGGATTTATAAATGCATTGTAAAAATATTTAAAATATTATTACGCTCTTACTCGATAATATGTCCAATCTCCTGCCTAAGGAAAAAAGTTGTTTCAAATCACCCTTGAAATCACCCCTTTCTATACCATCTGGATACGTGTATTTCGTCATCAGTTATTACTAAAATTTTACGCTAGAACTTTTTAATAATCGGACAAATAAATCCCTGTATCAGGTACGCAAATAAGTCGGCGGATAATCCGGATATACAAATCTTCCTGGCAGCCATAACCGATAACACCGACGGTGGTCTATTTGTGAAGAGGACTTGCAACGTGAATAACGAGTTCTACGGGCGTATGTACGAAAACATACTGTACAAACATGCATATGGGGCCATTCCACTTCTGCTAAGACCTCGGAGTAAAGGATACATTAAATTGCGTTCCAAGGACGTGCATCAGCACCCGACCATCGTTCCAAATTACTTTCATGATCCTCACGATCTTGATATTCTGGTAAAAAAGCTTTATCAATTAAATTGTTCTGTTTAACACGGTAACTGTTAGAGATGTGGGTAAATTTTAATGATGTGGGTGATTTTTCAATATGTTTTCAAGGTCACTACCCTGAGTAACGTTGTAAAAGTTTTAGTTGAATGTCGCTGTTTTTAAAAAAATTATCTAAAAATTGTTTGAGTACATAAACTGATAGAGAATCATCTTTCCTCGAGTCAGTTACACTTGAAGACTATGCAAAATTGAAATGGTTGATTACAATAATTACTATGCACTACACACGATAAACGCTGGATGGTGGTTAACCTATAATTATTGTTCGTACAACAACGTGACTAAAATCATTCTTACTGTCTATAAAAAAAGGACTAAATATCAGGTAAACCCTGGTGAACCTAGAAACATTGGAAACTAGATGCTGCAGACATTGCTAACATCAGCGTGATGTTTTGAAAATACATTTACAACAGACGAGAAAACGCCAATGATGGAATTTATTTCGATTCTGTCTTAGACAGAATATCTATTGCGATGATTTTTATATATAAACAGGTTAATGAATTTTTCGTTGTCGTAGGTAGAAGGAGCGAAGTTTGTTTATAAAATGAGCGAGACCCCGACAATGAAGCAGTTGAATGCACGAGCGAATCCGAACCGTATTCCAGAATGCTCGTCGTTCCCGTTTCCATCGGACGATTACTGGAGATGTTTCGCACGATTTTATACAATGACGATCTATCATCCGACAGGGACATGCAAAATGGGACCTGCGAACGACTCCATGGCTGTCGTGGACTCTACACTAAAGGTTCACGGAATATCTGGACTACGGGTGGTCGATGCTTCGATTATGCCGAACATCGTTTCTGGAAACACGAATGCGCCGACTATTATGATAGCTGAAAAGGCTGCAGACATGATTAAGAAAGCTTGGAAAATGTAAATAAAATAGTTTCTCTTATACTGCCTGCGAGTATGATTCGTGGCACGTGGCATTTCCTATAATTATTACCCCATGGTACCAGGAAACAGGGTACTCTGACAAGGAAAGGTCCCTAGGTGTTTTTAATGAGTTTTTGTATAACGATAAAGATTGTTATACTGAAGCTAATGATGCCCCCTTTTGGGCTAGACGGTTAATAGTTTATAAGATATTTAACATTAAAGTTTTAAGGGTCTCGTATGTACGTTAGCGTAGGCATGTTTAGCAAGTAAGTGAATATCGAAGGTGGAAAGGTGCTTGCCTACCAATTCAGTGGTTTTTTTATGCCCGAGTTCGAATATCGAAGAGTCTGTTGACTAGCTGTTTTTTGTACTCAGTTTCTATTTTGTAAACTATTGTACATTTTGCGTTTAGAGTAGAAACACTAAAGTTGAAAACAGGAATTATATTTATTTAACACTTATTATAAACCTCGGGACCTTTTCTTGTGAGAGTGAGTGGGACTGAGGGCTAGGGCTATGGAACAGATTCGTACATTTCAAAGTAATGCTAAACACCTTACTAGTTACTTGTCGTTGACAGACTATCGCACAGATTACATTTTATCGAAAATAAGGAAGTACCAGGATATGTATACTACACTGAATTGAGGTATAGGTGTGTATTATAACTAGGTTTATTCTGTGAATACAAGTACGCGACAAAAACATAGGACGCCCGTTTAATTTTCCTGCAATTTCTATGTAATAAATTTCTCCACATTTGTCGTTTATGGAATTTTATTGGACAGTACTACCTATTAGTATAAAAAATTGAAAGAAGTCCGGTTATTTAAATATATAACAAAATGAATGAAAATAAGTGAAAGAAAATGATATTACATAATTCAAATATTGTTACAAATATCTATGAAACATTATTTTAATATTTTATGTATCCTCCCTCGTCATACGCTTTGGTGAAGATTTATATAATTTTTTACAATATTTATGACTGATTTGAGACCGTTTTTGCTGAATGCAAATTTTCAAATTTGTAATATTTAAAAATTGCCTTTCTTTGTAATGCACATTTCTACCAAATATTGCCTAAGAATTTTCTATTATATTAAGATTAGAATCTCGCTGGCCACTCTAAGCATTCCTTTTTTATCGAAGTAGTCTTTTTTGGGGCGGAGTTGGATATTTCGGAACAACAGACACAAAATTTATAAATAAAAGATTGAATTGTCAAAATTATATTGATTTAACATATGACCAATTAAACAAATTCAAAATCGCAATGGCTGATCACAATTTTATGTTTCAAGAAAACAACCCAACAGCCTAGGTTGATAAAAAAAAAACAGTTGTAAGTGACCAGCGAAATCTCCTGACCTTCAGATAACTTCATCGAATTGCATAGTGTAATAATGTGCATATGCATGGATGAGGTGCTAAGCTACGAGCGTAAAGCTACGTCTACACTATATAACATAAGGTGTTATACAGCAAAATTATAAAACTTGTTAGAAAAACAGAAAGAATAATTGTATATAACGTGATGTTACATAACATTTTTCTTATTATATAGCAAGTTATATGTTATCCGAGTAAGAATTTTTCACGCATAACACGTACAATCTAAAGTTACATGTTGTACGAGGATTCGCGTTATGTGAAAACAGTAGTCGCAATATTTTTGCCTCGTTATAGAAATTCGCGTTATACGGGAGTCTAGTGTACAAAATTGTTACAGACTTGTCTGGAAAATATAGTCTTGTGACAAGTTATAAAAACTTGTTGTATAGGAAGGTTATACAAAAATTTGTCGTATAACACTGTTTTGCTATACAGTGTAGACGCAGCTTAGTACACAGAAACAAATAAAAACGACGAACGAGGCGAGCGGGTGGCACAAAACAACGTCTGTCCGTTCGCAAACGAGGAAGCATTGTATACTTATATATATATTGAACTATTATTCTAGCCGAAACGTTCTGTTTTCTCCCGCCATCTGTAGAATAGAAAGCTGTTGGGTACAATTGATTAAGAGGTATGTGTGAAAAAGCAAAACAATTTGGAAATGTTACATTAACTTTACTTAACAGAAAATATATCTTTTATGACTTCTAACTAGACTGCATAACTTTATGAAAATTCAGATTTTTAGAGATTAATTGAGCGAATTGAAATTATATCCGAGATACATTTTCGTTATTAAAGGTTTCGTTAGGTACAAGGTAAAGTAAAATTTTTAGTCATTATTCTGAAAATTTGTCTTCTGTATTGTGTTTACACATTCATATTTACGACAAATGCATAAAATTTTCAGACTACATACAACTATTTAATTCTCTCTTAAGCATGTGTTTTAAATTAAAACAGTACGAATTATTAACCCTTTCGGTGCAATTAGCGTGTATACACGTTTCATGAATTAGCTGCTACGAGTGTTATGGACGTGTATAGACATTTCATGAAAAATAGTATGTAGTGCCATAAACAGTAGAATATTCCCCGCACACGCGACCCATTCGTCAAGATTATTGTAGCACCGAAAGGGTTAATTACGTTCGACTCAAATGCAGCTAGACTGAGCTTCGCCTTTATACCACTTGAGATTTTAGCAATTCGTTCCATTTTTTGACGTAAATTAATTTTTCCACGGGACAATAAAGATCCTATTGTTATAATAACCATTATTAGTAACAGGGTGTGTGGATAACAGTATTGCTGTTGTTTTATATAGAATTCCTTACCCTTTTCCAACAACGTTCTAATAGAAACAAACGAATACCCAACAACATAGCTGTCAAGTTGCGACTACACTAACAGTGATTCCGGCAGTCATTGAAAGAGGTGGCGATGACTGGAAATAACCAAACAGCGTTAACCTACAATCCGGAACTGAGCTACTTAGTGCTTCTGCGGCTGTTGATCGGGCTGTTTAGACCCGACATAGTGGACCATGAATCCAGGGTGAAACCAATACTACCGGATGACTTGCAAAGCAGTTACGATTTCGTAATAATTGGGGGTGGGTCAGCCGGTTCCGTGGTTGCTAATCGTTTATCAGAGAATGGTAACTGGACGGTGCTCTTGCTGGAAGCCGGCCCAGACGAACCAAACGAATCGGACGTACCTGCCGTGTTTCCGGATCTTCAGCAGACTCCATTTGACTGGCAGTTTAAGACGGAACCATCAAAAGATTATTGTCAAGCGTTGGAAAATGGACAATGCAACTGGACACGCGGCAAGGTATAAAGAACTGAATCTTATGGTACAGTATTACCACGTAAATCAACCACTTTGGGGCTTTAACTCTTGGAGTACGGTGATCGAGTCCATTTGGACCCGAGTGTTTATAAATCATATCTAACTTATCGATTTGGAAATGTAATTTAAGCTAGGAGTTTTTCATATTTTGTCGTATACAAAAAACCAGGTGTTATTTAATGATCGCGATCAGAAGTATCTTTAAAAAGAAGGAAACATAGGGTTTCAAACGGACTAAACACCACTGTGCCTACGAACGTTAAAATCGCCAGTACTCCGAGAACTTCGAGTTTTAACACATTTGGGACTGGAAGACTTTTAACAAGCTTTTAGATGTCGATGCCAGTCGATAAGATGCCTATTAATTTAACTTTAAATAGGGACTGAAAAATAAGTTGTTATATAACGTTATAAGAGGTGTTAATATCTATCAGGATTTTAATTTGCTACTGCAGTTCAACCGTTTATTAATAGGCCCTTGGCTGTTGATCCGTGGGTCAAATAATAAGATTCCTATTAACCGTTGAATGCGAACAGCGTCTTTTGACGTTCTTCATATGTTATAATAAGAAATTTAGAAATGTCCATTTTTGAATCTGCCGTTGTTTTATATCCATCGTACACTTCTTTTATGATAAGTACAATTATTACATTTTATAAAATTTATACAAACAATTCGATGCTTCTTAAATTATTAAGAAAGAACGTCATAACATCGTACACAGCGAACGTCCTGCTTCTGAATGGTTCGCAATCAAAGGCTTACATCGCCGTTGGTTGGTGATGTGTTAAGCGAATGTGTATAATAACGTCTCGAAAATAAACGATCGAGAGTTTAAATTAATGCAATGCATATTCCCAACAATTTGGGTCATGAAATCTGTCAAAAATATCCGTTCGTGTCAATGATGAAGAGAGTCCGAATACATTTGTCACTTACCATGTACACGTATTTCTTCGAATATTCCGTTTAATGTCCAAGGTACTCGGGGGTAGCAGCGTGTTGAACGTGATGTTGCATGTCCGCGGCAATAGGAAGGATTACGACCACTGGGAGCAGTTAGGTAATCCAGGTTGGGACTACAAAAGCGTGTTACCCTATTTCAAGAAGTCAGAGGATATAAGGATCGAAGAGTTGAAGAATTCTCCCTATCACAATACCGGTGGACACCTGACCGTCGAGCATTTTAGGTACCGGACTCCTATAACGAACTATTTGATAAAGGCAGGCCAAGATATGGGATACGACATTGTGGACATCAACGGACCTACTCAAACCGGATTCACATTTTCCCAGGCCACGATAAGAAACGGGCTACGTTGTAGCACTGCGAAGGCTTTTTTACGATCAGCTTCTAAGAGAACGAATCTACACGTTAGCGTGCTCTCAACTGCAGAGAAGATTCTGGTTCGCACAGGCAAGTGAATTTTGTTAATTGTGTTATCAAAAATTTCGTTTTAAATAAATATGAAACATCAGTACAAGAAGGTGGGGTATATGTAGCATGTACAAAGTTCTGATTTCTGAAATCGACGATTTTTAGATCTATAGATATTGCATGGAATTTATTCCCCCATTATCCCCTATCACGTTTCGTACAAATCTATCAACGAAGGTATGTTGTAGAAAACTGGAAAAGTCTCCGAAATGAGAATCGTCATTTTTCTTTTGTACTCCTGTTCCTTCAAATTCGAACTTTTTTTGCAGTTATTTGTCATTTTTAATTTCATTTATTTTGTTCTCTCGATTCGTAGATGGACAATCGAAGACCGCGCATGGCGTGCAATTTCGTGTTGGATCGAAACTCCACAAGGTAAACGCGAATCGCGAGATCATTTTGTCCGCTGGTGCGATACAATCGCCACAATTGCTGATGGTGTCTGGTATTGGTCCGAAAGATCATTTGAAGGAAATGGGAATCCCATTGGTGCAGGATGCACCCGGGGTGGGTGAAAATCTTCAGGATCACGTGATGATAGACGGTATGACTTACTCAGTAGATCCACCAAAGGATTGTATGAACAACATGCCTTTTACATATGATTTTGTGAAAACCATTACGCCGGATACGATCACGGAATTCGCTGTGAATTGTACTGGGACCCTGTATGCGATGCCCTTTGGTGATGCCATGGGTTTCATTAACAGCAAGTAAGCAAGTACTTTGAATACTTAAGTAGATGATACTGTCAAAACAAACCACTTTCAGTAATCTGCATAAATACTTTTAATAGCCACCTTGATTATCCTTTCTGTCTCTACTATTCGGCACCATTTCGCGTTTTATAAAATTACTACATTTTATACCAATTATATACGTATACTTCGTCGTCAGTTATTCATCAAGATTCACGCCAAAATTTTTTATTGTAATTGTATCAGGTATGCAAACAAGTCCGCGGATTATCCAGACTTAAGCATCACCTTGGGATCTTCAGGCAATAGTATAGCCGGTGGTGTCTTCAAGCAGAGGGCTAACAAGAAGATCGGACAGTACTCAAACACATACAGGACAACTTCATATCTGCCAAGACCTCGGAGCAGAGGATACATTAAATTGCGTTCCAAGGACGTGCATGAGCATCCGATCATCGTTCCAAATTACTTTCAGGATCCTCACGATCTCGATGTTCTGGTAAAAAAGCTTTATCGATTAAGTTCTTCCGTTTAGTACTGATATAGGCTGATTTTGTTCTTCTTTCGACATACTTTTGCTTTTGTATTTCCCGACTAATTGTTGGAAATGTCATCTGTACGATATTGAACGTGTTAATTAGTTTTTATTCAAAATTGGTTTCATGCAATTAGAAAAAAATTGGTTCTATTACCAATTACATACACATTAATTACGGCAACGAAACAAAACTCAGTTAACTACACCCGATGATATCAAGAAGTGTTGTTACCTAACCCAGACCAGCATTGCCAGCAGCGCAAAATTTTAATGGTTGATTGTAATAGTTATTATGTAGGATACACGGTGATCTCCGGGCGCTGAGTAGCCTCTAGTTATCGTTCGTACAACAACGTGACTAAAATCACCCGCATTGTTAGTAACGAATCGATTGAATACCCGACACACTTTGGTGAACCTAGAAAGTTTGGAAATCAGAGACTGCAAATATTGCTAACATCAGCGTGATGTTTCGATCCATGCAGGCTTGAAAAGTATACTTCTAACAGATGAGAATATTCCAATGTTGGGGCGTATTTCGATGCTGTCCTCTACCCAATACCTACTGATGATTATGTAAATATAAAAAGCTTAATGGATATTTCATTATCGTAGATGGAAGCAGCGAAATTCATTCACGCAATGAGCGAGACCCCGACAATGAAGCAGTTGAACACACGAGCGAATCTAACCAGTATTCCACAGTGCTCGTCGTTACCGTTTCCATCGGACGATTATTGGAGATGTCACGTGCGATTTTTTTCAATGACGACTTATCATCCGTGCGGGACATGCAAAATGGGACCAGCGAACGACTCCATGGCTGTCGTGGATTCTAGACTAAAGGTTCACGGAATTTCTGGACTACGGGTGATCGATGCTTCGATTATGCCGAACATCGTATCTGGAAATATTAATGCGCCGACTATTATGATAGCTGAAAAGGCTGCCGACCTGATTAAGGAAGATTGTAAATATAAATAATTCTGTTACTTTTTATGTTACCTGCGAGTACGATTCGTGGTACGTCGCTTTTTCTATAATTATTACCCCATGGCATAAGGAAACACTCTTTTCTGAGAATAAGTTGCACTGAACGCTAAAACCATGGAACCGACAAATATGTACACACTTCAAGGTAATGTCGAAAAATGTACCAATTGCTTGGTTATGACAGTCTGTCGTATAAATTAAATTTGGACGAAAATAAAGAAGGACCAGGACACTTCTAAGTGCTAGTGTGCATACGAAGAATGATGTACAAGTTAGAAAAGTGATATCTAAGTGTACTGTACACGGTTCATACTTTCAATATTTATTAAATTATGAATTTATTATGTTAGTAAATACTGCATTTAGTAATACTGACAGTACTATTGAGTACAGTTTATTAAATATCAGTACTAAACGGAAGAACTTAATCGATAAAGCTTTTTTACCAGAACATCGAGATCGTGAGGATCCTGAAAGTAATTTGGAACGATGATCGGATGCTCATGCACGTCCTTGGAACGCAATTTAATGTATCCTCTGCTCCGAGGTCTTGGCAGATATGAAGTTGTCCTGTATGTGTTTGAGTACTGTCCGATCTTCTTGTTAGCCCTCTGCTTGAAGACACCACCGGCTATACTATTGCCTGAAGATCCCAAGGTGATGCTTAAGTCTGGATAATCCGCGGACTTGTTTGCATACCTGATACAATTACAATAAAAAATTTTATTTAATATTCAGTAATATCGATAAGTATAATGGTTGTGTATTGACAGTACCGACAGATTGTATTGAATTGTAATGATACGTATTTATGTAGGTACTCTTAATATTATTGAATCAGTATTATTGACCAGTAACGACATGAATATAGAATAGAAAGAAATGATCAGGAAGCTTCTGCGATTAATAACTCACCAAAAGACTGGTTTATGAAAATTTAAAAAAACATCGAGATAATTTGTCAAATAATCGATTTCGAACGTCGAATCAATGTAATGTGTGTACCATTACATAAATCACTATCTATTCCAATTCAGTATTTTCATTGTAGTAATCATTGTTCTTAAATACCATATGTAGAAATGAACGATGAATAAACATAGTACCATAAACACTTTTTATTTTGTTGATGAAAATTTTATGTTTCAACGAGACAACCCAATTTGCCATATTGCGGAGTGTGCAAAAGACTACTTCGATAAAAAACAATTGGTTTGGAGTGTCCAGCAAGATTTCCTGACCTTCATATAACTACACCGAATTAGTGTAATAGGTGCGTCTACACTATACAACATAACATGTTATATAGCAAACTTACAAAACTTGTTAGCAAAACAGAAAGATAAATGTTATATAACGTAATGTTACATTTTCGTTTTATATAGCAAGTTATCCATCTAGTGTTTAACGGTCTCTCGGCAAAGGGTTTCGGAGTACCTACGTTATGTTCCATTACAATGTTTGTAAACATGAAGCTTCTTTCTGAGTGTACACATGTTGTATATAAAATCGTGATGCCTGATTATTAACAATTTGATTATTCCGTTTTATTCTTAAGTTATTATAAAAATTATCTTGTTATGGAGAATGCATTTATAACGAGCTTTAAAACGCCAGAAATATTCGAAAACGTCCGTCCGTCACTACTTCGTCGAATGACAATTTGTATTATTGCAGAAGGAGACACTTTTGAACAACTGTTATAATACAATGTTTCACAAATTCCAGCGAATAATAACTGACAATGATGACAGTCATTTGTTGTTAACCGAGAAGCATTGTACAACTTTACTTAACAGGAAACAAATCTTTTATTACTTCTATCTTGACTGCATGACTTATACAAATTCAGATTTTTAAGGATTAATTGAGTGAATTGAAATTATATCAGAGATTCGTTTTCTTTATTAAAGGTTTCGCTAGGTTCAAAGTAAAGTAAAATTTCTACTTATCATTCCGAAAATTTATACTCTGTATTGTGTTTACACATTCATATTTACGACAAATGCATAAAATCTGCAGTCTACGTGTAACGATTTAATTCTCTTTTAAACATGTGTTTGTATGAATTTCTTTCATCTATTTAATCTTCAGAATTGAACCTACTGAAAAACCTATATAGCAAATACTGTTAGGGCTCTTAAGGTTTTTAATTTCCCCTAAATTAAGTATTCTACGAGGTCGAAAGTTTAAGATTATTAATTAAGGCACCTAATATATCCATAATAAGAACATAAAAAGTGTTCTCTGATATTTGAAGAAATTGTACGATATCAAATTTTCAAAGATAACAACTACAAAAGCATTTCTGAACTGTTGTCTATCACAACTGGATTTGTTTGTCAAATTGACCGATTCTGATTTTATTCCACAAATATTCGGCGATTGTTGCAAATTTCATGTGATACAAGGCATTATAAAAGGCCGACAGCGTTCACCTGGAATTTATTTAACCAGTTGGGTCCTCATAGCATTATCGAAATCAAGCGTATGTAAGCACAAGCAGTGCGTAAAGTGAAGTGTGTTTTTTTAGAGCGTATATTTATTAATGGGCCATTCCAGTCGAAGTGGTTCAATGTCGTTGCTTGATCATTTTTAAACAATCTAATTTTTTGTGTATAATTACTTTTATATGTTAACACTTCAAAACCAATGTCAGTTTATCCTAATGATTTTTTGTTTGTACGTAAGAACCGTATTTGTGTCACGTGGAACGTCATTTCTTGCGGTTTGGGGGGTTAGCGAAAATGAAAATATCTTAATGTCTGCTAATCATAGTAAGATAGGACACACAGTACATTTTTTAGAAAAGAACACGCCACAATTATTGTCCTATGGACTTATATCTTAAACCTAACTCTACTAGCCAAAATTTGAGTCTAGTCTACAAGTTTGATTACTAGAAACATAAGAAGTTCAATTGAAAATTTTGTTCAAACTTAATTCTTGCTGGCTTTTCTTGGTAGAGCACATTCCAATTTAGCTGACTCATAAGTTTCAAGTCTGAAACTTAAAATTTCCTTTGAATTTTCCTTTTCTTTCTTATTCTTTTATTGTTTTTATGTATATTTATTTAGTCTCCCAGACAATAAAAATCCTACTGTTGTAATTACCATTATTAATACAGTCAAACCTCGGTCCACGAACATAATTTGTTCCTGAAGATCGTTCGTAAATCGAAATGTTCGTGAACCCAAAACTATTTTCCCATAAGAATTAATGTAAAATGGATTAATCCGTACCTGGACCCCAGATGATTGCTTAAATAAACTTTTAAAACAGTACATTCTTGCACAAGTTCTTAACACAAAATCAATGGAAACCATTAAATCTATCACCGAAAAAGATAAACAGAACACTAAGCAGATCAAATATAGACGAAAACTTCATTTAGTTTTACCGTACATGTATGAAGGAGAGGTGACAGAGTAAGTGGAAGGTGGTGAGGAAGTAAAATGTTACTGATGTGTGATTTGTTTTTGTCTTCGTCTTAAAATGTTGAATGTTGTTCTTTTAAATATTGACGGCTTGCGTTTTCGTCACTCGAGACACAGTACTGTTCAGTTCAGACACAGAATTGTTCATGATCCGAGGCGTTCGTGAACCGAGGTTTGACTATCAGGCTGTATGGACAATAATATTGCTATTGTTTCATATGAAATTTCCTACATTTCTCCAATATAATAATAAAAACAAGTATATTCCCAACGGACGCAGCTTTCAAGTTGAGATTACTAACTGTGCACCGGTGATCATCGAAAGAGATGGCGATTAGAGGCAAACTTGCTGTTTTCCGAACAGTGTTAACCTACAGCCCGCAACTGAGTTTCTTAGTACTTCTGAGACTGTTGATCGGGCTGTTTAGACCCGACATAGTGGACCATGAATCCAGAGTGAAACCAGTACTTCCAGCTAACTTGCGATGTAGTTACGATTTCGTGATAATCGGAGCTGGGTCAGCCGGTTCCGTGGTTGCTAATCGTTTATCAGAAAATGGTAACTGGACGGTGCTCTTGCTGGAAGCCGGCCCAGACGAACCAAACGAATCGGACGTACCTGCCATGTTTCCGGAACTTCAGCAGACTCCATTTGACTGGCAGTTTAAGACGGAACCATCAGAAGATTATTGTCAAGCGATGGAAAATGGACAGTGCAACTGGCCACGCGGCAAGGTAGAAAGAACTGAATTTTATGGTACAGTATTACCACGTAAATGAACCACTTTGGAGCTTTAATTCTTGGAGTACGGTGATCGGGTCCGTTTGGAAACGAGTGTTTATAAATCATATCTAACTTATCGATTTGGAAATGTAATTTAAGCTAGGAGTTCTTCATATTTAGTCGTATACAAAACTGCAGGTGTTATTTAATGATTCGCGATCAGAAATATCTTTAAAGAGAAGGAACCATAGGGTTTCAAACGGACCCAGACATCACTGTGCCTACAACACTTCTTTTATGATAACTACAACGATTACATTTTATAAAATTTATACAAACAATTCGATGCTTCTTAAATTATTAAGAAAGAACGTCATAACATCGAACATAGCGAACGTCCTGTTTCTGAATGCTTTGGAATCAAAGGCTTACATCGTCGTTGATTGGTGATGTGTTAAGCGAATGTGTATAATAACGTCTCGAAAATAAACGATCGAGAGTTTAAATTAATGCAATGCATATTCCCAACAATTTGGGTCATGAAATCTGTCAAAAATATCCGTTCGTGTCAATGATGAAGAGAGTCCGAATACATTTGTCACTTACCATGTACACGTATTTCTTCGAATTTTCCGTTTAATGTCCAAGGTACTCGGGGGTTGCAGCGTGTTGAACGCGATGTTGTATGTCCGCGGCAACAGGAAGGATTACGACGAATGGGAGCAGTTAGGTAATCCAGGTTGGGACTACAAAAGCGTGTTACCCTATTTCAAGAAGTCAGAGGATATAAGGATCGAAGAGTTGAAGAATTCTCCCTATCACAATACCGGTGGACACCTGACCGTCGAGCATTTTAGGTACCGGACTCCTATAACGAACTATTTGATAAAGGCAGGCCAAGATATGGGATACGACATTGTGGACATCAACGGACCTACTCAAACCGGATTCACATTTTCCCAGGCCACGATAAGAAACGGGCTACGTTGTAGCACTGCGAAGGCTTTTTTACGATCAGCTTCTAAGAGAACGAATCTACACGTTAGCGTGCTCTCAACTGCAGAGAAGATTCTGGTTCGCATAGGCGAGTGAATTTTGTTAATTGTGTTATCAAAAATTTCGTTTTAAATAAATATGAAACATTAGTACAAGAAGGTGGGGTATATGTAGCATGTACAAAGTTCTGATTTCTGAAATCGACGATTTTTAGATCTATAGATATTGCATGGAATTTATTCCCCCATTATCCCCTATCACGTTTCTTACAAATCTATCAACGAAGGTATGTTGTAGGAAACTGGAAAAGTCTTCGAAATGAGAATCGTCATTTTTCTTTTGTACTCCTGTTCCTTCAAATTCGAACTTTTTTTGCAGTTATTTGTCATTTTTAATCTCATTTATTTTGTTCTCTCGATTCGTAGATGGACAATCGAAGACCGCGCATAGCGTCCAATTTCGTGTTGGATCGAAACTCCACAAGGTAAACGCGAATCGCGAGATCATTTTGTCCGCTGGTGCGATACAATCGCCACAATTGCTGATGGTGTCTGGTATTGGTCCGAAAGATCATTTGAAGGAAATGGGAATCCCATTGGTGCAGGATGCACCCGGGGTGGGTGAAAATCTTCAGGATCACGTGATAATAGGCGGTATGAATTACTTGATAGATCCACCAAAGGATTGTATGAACAACGAACCTTTTACATTTAATTTACTGCAAACCATTACGCCGTATACGATCACGGAATTCGCTGTGAACCATACTGGGACTCTATATTCGATGCCGTACTGTGAAGCCATGGGTTTCATTAACAGCAAGTAAGTACTTTGAATACTTAAGTTAATTTAATGCAGTGTTTATATATATATTTTAAATAAAACCATTCATTTTTGTGAGCTTTTAATAGCCATCTCGATTATCTTTTCTGTCTCTACCATTCAGCACTATTTCGCGTTTCATAAAATTGCTACATCCTATACCAATTGTATACGTATACTTCGTCGTCAGTTATTGATCAAGTTTCACGCAAGAATTTTTTACTAATTGAACGAATAAATTCCTGTATCAGGTACGCAGACGAGTCTGCGGATTATCCAGACTTACACATCGCCCTGGCATCTACAGGCGATCATATGGGCGGTGGTGTCTTTATGAAGAGGCCTGGCAAGGAGATCATACCGTACGCAGACGCATATGGGGCTATTTCATATCTGCTAAGACCTCGAAGTAAAGGATACATTAAATTGCGTTCCAGGAACGTGCATCGGCATCCGATAATCGTTGCAAATTACTTTCAGGATCCTCACGATCTCAATGTTCTGGTAAAAAAGCTTTATCGACTAAGTTGTTCTATTTAATATTGATAAAAGTCATTTTTTGTTTCTTCGAGATATTTAAGCTTTCGTATTTCCCGACTAACTGTCGGAGATGTCATCTGTACGATATCCAACGAGTTAATTAGTTTTTATTCAAAATTGAATTCATGCAATTAGAAAAAAATGGTTACTTTCATCATCAATTCCATCGTTAGTTATTTTTTGTATCATGACATATTTCAGCCATTCGATCGCATCGAGTTTACCAGAATTTCTGCACCGTAGCAAGTTGCGTGCATTTGTAACCGCATCATCGATTTCATCGTACCGATTTTGTTCAGGCAAATCAGTTTCTAATGTAGAAATTCTGATATAATAACGACGTAGTTAAATGTACTGGAATTTCTTTTCTTTGCTGCATAGACAATGTTCGTGTAATCGAAGGTTTAATAAATTGGTGCTCTGATAATCGATCATTCCGGTAATGACTGCTACTTTCTTACTGACTTTCATACCGTTACATAAACACATTTACTACGGCAACTAAACAAAAGACAGTAACACCTGAGGATATCAAGAATTGTTGTTAGGAACTACCAGCATTTCCAGCTACCCAAAATTTTAATAGCTGTTATTAATACAATGTGACTAAAATCACCCTTATTGTTAGTAACGAAAGGACTATATACCAGACACACTTTGGCAAACCTTTAAAGTTTGGAAATCAGAGACTTCAAATATTGCTAACATCAGTGTGATGTTTCGATCCATGCAGGCTTGAAAAGTATATTTCTAAATCTGTTAGAATATTCCAATGATGGAAAGTATTTCGATGCTGTACTCCACCGAATACTTATTGATGATTTTTTAAATATAAAAAGGCTAATGAATTTTTCACTGTCGTAGATAGAAGGAGCGAAGTTCATTCATGGTATGAGCGAGACCCCGACAATGGAGCAGTTAAACGCACGAGCGGATCTAAACAGTATTCCACAGTGTTTGTCGTTACCGTTTCCATCGGACGATTACTGGAGATGTTACGTGCGATTTTATTCAATGTCGATTTTTCATCAGAGCGGGACATGCAAAATGGGACCAGCGGCGGATCCCATGGCTGTCGTGGACTCTAGACTAAAAGTTTATGGAATTTCTGGACTACGGGTGGTCGATGCTTCGATTATGCCGAACATCGTTTCTGGTAACACGAATGCGCCGACTATTATGATAGCTGAAAAGGCTGCAGATATGATTACCAAAGAATGGAAAATGTGTTAAATATGTGGCTCCCTTATTCCGTATAATTACCATATTTTTTTTTTATAAAATTGACACATTATATGGGCGTATGTAATATGATATTTTTGTAAGTTTGCTGACTTTATTTGTGAAGTGATATACACACAGTCTTATCACTCTGTATTTTGTAGACAAATAAAAATATCTGTTTCTATATTAATACTTTCACTTAATTAAGATAGTTATTTCTGTTCACTCATTTTGTTATTACTAAGAATATGTTTTACATTCAGTAATGGGAAACGCTTACGTCAGATACTTTGTTCGATTAAGTGTCTTTTGCCAGGTGTAATAGATATGTGGGGTAAACAGACCAGTTATGTAGACAATTGAATATTCTCGTTCATGCGTGTTGCTGTTGTATGGACGAGAACCTTAATTACCTTTGCTGTACAGTTGCCTTCTCATAATTTTTGTTTTCGACGTCTTTATGAAGAAATTTATAGTTCTTGAGAAAAAGGTAGATTAATTATTGTTCCTTAGCTTCAGGATCATTTCATTTATCAAGCTGATAAATATAATATTATTTTCAAATTAGTTTTTTAGCATTATTTGAAACGTCATTTGTCTTACATATAGAGTGTTAATAAAAACGTGGGACACTTTCGTAGGGTGGATTATACAAGCTGAAATAAGACAAAAATCAAAAATGACGAAGTTGTTGAAATGATGAACAGTCGATTACCAGCTGATACACGGTATCGACCGATGGCCTGGTTGAATTTTTGAATGAAATAAAATCAAATAAACGAAACCAACACGTGAAACAATCGAAGAGTTCTGTCCTACTTCTGTACATCGAAGTGTTTAATGATATTTGCAGAAATTGTATAGTACCAAATTTTCAAAGTGGATACGTATAAAAGCAATCCTGAAATGTTGTATACCATAACTGGATCACCATGTCAAATTGGCAGATATTCTAATGGTCAGGTGAATTTTCCGTTTTCTTGTTAGTAGTATTATACATACTTTAGTTACATGTAAGTTTCCGCCGGTTTTGCAAGGATGACTGCGAAGGATGCATTCGGGCACGTGGACACATAACCAGCTGATATAGCAAGCTCTATTGAAATACTGACGCCGGTCACTTGTATTTTATTTAATCAGTTGACCTCTATTGTTTTATGGTGCATACCCGTGGGTATACATATAGCATCCCTGAAGAAAATGATATACAACAACTCCGTTTACAATTAATCACGAAATTAGATAAATATTTTTGCGACATTGAACGAAATCAAATGTATGATAATGCTGCATTACACGATCCACGTTTTCGTGACTTGTTACAAAAATAGCAAGTACTGCTGAATCAGCAGTCGTGGGTATATATAACCCATGCGTATGTAAGGAAGAACATTGTATGAAGTGAAGTGTTTTTTTTTTAGAGTGTATGTTATTAACATAGGTATTAAGCGTAAATCATTCCTTAAAGGTTTAGTCTATTGTAATTAGAAGAAAAGTTGAATAAGTAAAATGCGTTCATTTATCCTTGGACAATCAACATATAGAGTAAAGTAGACGAATATGAGATCCATTTTATTAAGCATGTATAATTCTCGATTAAAAAAACTTCTTAAAATTTTTGCTTGAATGCAGCTATCATAAAAATTCTAGGGAAAACAGGTAGCCCGACCCTTCCTCTACGACGCTTTCATATCAATACAATGCCCAATCTCCGTATTGTTTACAATTGCCTGGCATCTTCTAAGCATATTTTTTGGGTAAAGATCAGCAGAAGAACTAAAATTGGGCCAAAACCAAAAATTGAGCTATACTTCTCTTGAAGTCCCCTATAAACCAGCAAAGTTTTAAAAAAATCGGAATTTTCGGGTTACCGAACTTCCCTTGTTAGACAATGATGATCCTATTGTTACAATTACCATTCCCAGTATCAGGCTGTGAGGATAATAATATTGCTACTGTTTTATATTAAAATTCCTACATTTTTTCAGCGACATTATAGTAAAAACAAATACATTTCCAACGGACATAGCCATCAAGTTGGGACTCCTCACAGTGATTCCGGTAGCCAACGAAAAATATGGCGCTAACTGGTATCGCCGCCATACTAATACGGTTCAGCCCCGCCATCAATGTGTTAGTCTTGATACTTTTGCGGGTGTTGATCGATCTGTATCGACCCGACATCGTGGACCGTGAATCCAGGGTGAAACCAGTACTTTCGGCTGACTTGCAATGCAGTTACGATTTCGTGATAATCGGGGGTGGGTCAGCCGGTTCGGTGATCGCTAATCGTTTATCAGAGAATGGTAATTGGACGGTGCTCCTGCTGGAAGCTGGTCGAGAAGAGCCAGAGGTATCCGATGTACCTATGGCGTTTGCGTCTCTTCAGCTGTCTCCAGTGGACTGGCAGTTTAAAACTGAACCATCGAACCGTTATTGCTTAGCGATGAACAATCGACAGTGTAACTGGCCTCGCGGCAAGGTATGAGGAATTGAATCCTTATGTTTACTTCGAGTAATCCGGTATTACTTCGTAAATGTCCTACTTCAGGTTCTAAAGGGCTTTAAGTCTTAACCTCTTGCCTTATAACATCGAGGCAGACTCGTGGTGACGATATCAAAATGGATTCAACGAATAAAAATATTATTCGATTTCTCTGAGTCAATGTTAAATTCTAGTTTGCTGATTACAATTGTGATAAGTACACAAATTCTTTTTGTTTCCGGGGAATTATTGATGATAAAGTAATTCTGGAGACTGCAGATATCAAGGAAATCATAAGGCAAGAGGTTAACACATTTCAGACCGGTAGCCTATAGTAGGCAAGAGCTCAACATCGGAACGCGTACAATGGCGTAGCATACGAAACTCTTTGTAATATTACAGTTCGAATATTTCTTTAATATTTTCTCGACCTAGATGAAAAAAAAGTAACACTTGAAGGTGACCTTACAAAATCATGAAAAATAAAGAGTTCACAATAAATTTGTTATAATCACATTAAAGCTGTCTTGAAACCATGCTATGTATTTCTTTGAATTTTCCATTTATTGTTCAAGACTCTCGGTGGTAGCAGTGTGTTGAACGCGATGTTGTACATTCGTGGCAACAAGAACGGCTACGATGAATGGGAGAGGTTAGGTAATCCAGGCTGGAACTACAAGAGCGTGCTACCCTACTTCAAGAAGTCAGAAGATATGAGAATCGAAGAGTACAAGAATTCCCCTTATCACAGTACCGGTGGATACCTAACTGTCGAGTATTTTAAGCATCGGACTCCTCTAGCGGACTATTTGATAAAGGCAGGCCAAGATATGGGATACGACGTTGTGGACTCGAATGGGCCCAAACAAACCGGATTCACATTTTCCCATGGCACCTTGAGAGACGGACTACGTTGTAGCACTGCCAAAGCTTTTCTTCGATCAGTTTCGAAGAGAAAGAATCTACATGTCAGCTTGAAGTCGACTGCAGAAAAGATTTTGGTGTACAATGGCAAGTGCACGTGATATTCTTCGTGCTACCATCATTTTATAAGTGAAATTGAATTTGATCAGGCTTTGCTTCGATAATTGCTAGTCACTCTTTTACTTTCATTAATTCTCTTGATTCGCAGATGGAGAATCGAAGACCGCGCATAGCGTCCAATTTCGTGTTGGATCAAAACTCTACAAGGTAAAAGCGAGTCGCGAGATTATTTTATCCGCTGGCTCGATACAATCACCACAATTGCTGATGGTGTCCGGTATTGGCCCAAAAGATCACCTGAATGAAGTGGCAATCCCATTGGTGCATGATTCGCCTGGTGTGGGTCAAAATCTTCAGGATCACATATCGATAGGCGGTATGGTTTACCTTATAGATAAACCAGCGAATTACACGGGCAAAGAGCATTTTTCATTTAATCTGCCGAAAACCATCACGGTGAATGCTTTTAAGGAATTTACTAAGGATCATACTGGACCTCTGTATGCGTATCCGCTTAGTGAAGGGATGGCCTTCATTAATACCAAGTTAGTACTTTAACCCTTAACTACAGACCATCGTTGCAGAGACGAATTTGAGTTTTCGTTCACTATCATCCAGTGGAGAATTTCGGAAGCTCTAAGTACTTGTGTACTTTCAACTGACAGTAACTTAGCGCCTTATTTTCGAAACGATAACGAAAAATAACATTCAATTGGTTATTAAAAGTTTTACAAAGTTAATCGATGTGGAATTATCCATCTCTGGCAAGAGTGGTCTTTATAAGCGTTGTTCTGTTTTAAAGAGTGTACGAATACTTTTTTTACCCACTGTATACGTTTGACCAGTTCCGGGATGAGCCCCGCCTAGTGGTGGGTTTGACTCGGGGACAGTTAGCGTGGAAGTCGCTTCGAGCCAGTAAAGCATCTTTACTGTATTAATATTATACCTAATATGCATACCTTTCACGAGTTACTTCTATAACGAAAAATTGTAACCTTCCTACACGTAACTGGACAGGTGTTCTTCGTCGGCAGTTATTAATCAAGTCTCACGCCAGAACTTTTTACTAATTGGACGAATAAATCCCTAATTCAGGTATGCAAACAAATCGGAAGATTATCCGGATATACAGTTGTTCCTGTCAACTATAACCGATAACACAGACGGTGGTATTTTTATTAAGAGGGGTTGCAACGTGAACGATGAGTTCTATGAAAAAATGTACCAAAATATACTGTTTCAAGATGCATATCAGATCATGCCACTTCTACTAAAACCTCGAAGCAGAGGATACATTAAACTCCGTTCCAAGGACGTACATCAGCACCCGATCATCGTTCCCAATTATTTTAAGGATCCTCAGGATCTTAATGTTCTGGTGAGAAAGCTTTATCGATTCTGTTTAGTACCGACATAGGTCGACTTTTTCAAGATATTTATGTTTCTGTTTTATTTCGATTTGTGCTACACCCAATAGATATACGTATTAATAATTTAAGAAATCAGAAACCACTAATGATTTTCTAATTTGACGCAGGCT